ATACCCACTCCAGCCCGCCGCCTCTCACCAGGGGCAACTCCAGACTGAGACAGTGTCCAGCCCCTCTCTAGGAGACTGGTTGCAGCGCCCAAGCCATGCGTAGAGGTGAGCCCGACTATATCTAGCCGGTACCTCTCAACCTCACGCACTAACTCAGTGCGTATTATTATTATTATTATTTTAGCACAAGGTTTAGTTTAAGTTTGCACAAAAATAGCTGACAGAATTGTTCATTAAGGAGCTACTTTTTACTTTCTTACTTTGAGTACATTTCAGAGCCTGTACTTTCTCACTTTTACTCGAGTAAAGAAGTTGCTTCACTACTTTAAATTTCACTGGAGTGTTTTCTTTTTTGTGAAAGTCTGTCATTTTGCCACCCCTCACAGTTTGTACTGACAAGTATGCTTAGTTATGTGTCAGTTTCATTTCATTGTATACAGTAAATCCTAGTCTGATAAATTGAGTCAATGTAAAAGAGTCACACTGTTAAAACTGAAAGGTTTCCCTTTTCAGCTTTTGTATTGTCAGTTTGGGTTCCTTAATGGATATTTTATTTATTTTAGGTACATTGCTTTATATGTTTTTAGACCTGGGACATAGTAATTCTTCAAATTTTGGGGTATATAAAGTATTCCTTATTCTTACAAATATCATGGTTCTGGGTCCTTTTGACCCAGCATTTTATGTTTTTATGACCTGTTGTATTATGGTTTATGATTCTTTGTGGAATCCTGAGTTTATTCTGTGTTAACCTTTGTACTTTGTGTCTCCCTCTGTGCATCGGTGTTTATTTAATTGTGTGAGTGCTTGACCCTTGTTTCCCCTCCTTGTGTTCAGTGTTGGGAAGGTTACTTTTAAAATGTATTCCACTACAGTTTACAGATTGCATGCCCCAAAGTGTATTTTGTAAGGTATTCTGTTACGTTACGTTCTGCTACACGCGTATATAAAACAGGTCTGCGGCTCCCAACCATAGTAAAGGGACCTCTGGCTAATACATCGGGTTTGTGTCAGGCTCTTAGCCAAAAACTAGCTTTACTTTGTTCTCTGGGTCACTTTGCTAGCGAGAGACAGAGAGAGGCGTAGAAAGGCTGCTTCAACGGAGCTTATCGTTTCGGAGGAAAACACCAACACAGCGTACAGTCGAGTTCTAATAGCTTACTTACAGCTGGGCTACACTGCCCATGAGGCTACATTCTTTAGGGCTATGCCTGTCACACTCTGCCTATTGCCTTCAAATTAAATAATTTTTTGAACAATAATTTTTTTAAATATTTCTTTATGTCATTATGCGGACCGCAAGTAGAGCTGTCATAGGCCGTGGGATTGAGACACAGACTTTAGAGTCTCTTGATGTGTGTTTTGATTGGGTTTCCACCGGCGTGGAATTACCAAAAATAGAGAGAGCATAGCCTAACATATGAAACAGTAAAAGATCGCTGTGTAATATATTTATTTCAACAACGTAACTGTATTCTAAATACCACCTTTTTAAATGGTAACTGTAACGGAATACAGTTACCCATATTTTGTATTTTAAATACATAATGCCGGTACATGTAATCTGTGACTCCCCAACACTGGTTGTGTTTTATTTCATCATGTTTCCCCAGCCCAGTCTGTGCTCTCCCCCATGCTCCTCTGTGTTCTCTCTCCCCCTCTGTGTACTTCCTGTTTTACTTTGATAGTCTCCCGTCAGTGTACGTCATGTTGTGTTTGCTCCTGCCTGTCTCGTTATGATTATTTGTCTCAGCTGTGTTCCCCGTGTGCTCCCACGTCACTTGTTATCTTTCTCTGTATTGTGTCCACGTCTCCCTCATGCTGTGTGCGTTTCACTCTATGATTCTCCGTGACTTTTGTTTATATTATCCCAGTGTAGTATTGTATGTTTTTTCCCTTGAGTCAGCAATAAAACTGCTTTTTGAGTTTGCATTTTTGCCTCTGTGAAGTCTGCTTTTGGGTCCGATATCCTGCCTGCCACTCAGCGACTCGTGACAACAAATTGTTTTTCTAACCACAGTTCTCTTTTGAATATCATCTATGGGCAGAAATCTGTGCCATCAGAAACTGAATTTGAATAAGTTCAATTTGAATTTGAATTGCTCAGATTGAATCTGAATTGTAACTTGAATAAATGCTTTTGAAA